TTAGTCCTGAGTGGAGTGCAGGATCAGGTACAGGATATAACCGTTACAGGACTGCTTGGGAATAGTGACCATAATATCCTGCTTCTTGGAGCAGCTAGTGCAGGAACCCACAAGGGGAGAGGCAATACTCGATTTAGTCCTGAGTGGAGTGCAGGATCAGGTCCAGGATATAACCATTACAGGACCGCTTGGGAATAGTGACCATAATATAATAACATTCAACATTCCTGTGGTGGGAAGAACACCTCAGCAGTTCAGCACCCTGGCATTTAATTTCAAAAAGGGGAATTACACAAAAATGAGGAGGTTAGTTAAACAGAAATTAAAAGGCACAGAGACTAGAGCCAAATCCCTGAAACCTGCATGGAAACTTTTTAAAGACACCATAATAGAGGCCCAACTTAAATGTATACCCCAAATTAAAAAACATAGCAAGAGACCTAAAAAAGAGTCACCGTGGCTTAACCACCATGTAAAAGAAGCAGTGAGGGACAAAAAGGTATCTTTTAAGAAGTGGAAGTCCAATCCTAGTGAGATAAATAGAAAGGAACATAAACACTGTCAAATCAAGTGTAAAAATGTAATAAGAAAAGCAAAAAAAGATTTTGAGGAACAGCTAGCCAAAAACTCAAAAAGAAATAACAAAATGTGTTTTAAGTACATTAGAAGCAGGAAGCCTGCTAAAAAACCTGTGGGTCCCCTAGATGATCGAGCTATAAAAGGAGCAATCAAGGACGATAAAGCCATTGCGGAGAAACTAAATGATTTCTTTGCTTCAGTATTCACGGCTGAGGACGTTGGGGAGATTCCTGAATCTGCACCGTCCTTTGTGGGTGATGAATCTGAGGAACTGTCCCGGATTGAAGTGTCATTAGAGGAGGTTTTGGAACAAATAGAAAAACTTAATGTTAACAAATCTCCGGGACCGGATGGCATTCATCCAAGGGTTCTAAAAGAACTCAAATGGGAAATCGCTGAGCTATAATCTGTGGTTTGTTATCTATCCTTTAAATCGGCTTCCATACCTAATGACTGGAAGGTAGCTAATGTGACACCAATATTTAAAAAGGGCTCTAGAGGCGATCCTGGCAATTACAGACCGGTAAGTCTAACTTCAGTACCGGGCAAATTAGTCGAAACAATAGTAAAGAATAAAATTGTGAAGCATGTAGAAGAACATAATTTGTTGGACAAAAGTCAACATGGTTTCTGTAAAGGGAAATCCTGTCTTACTAATCTATTAGAGTTCTTTGAAGGGGTTAACAAACATGCGGACAAGGGGGATCCAGTAGATATAGTATACTTGGATTTTCAGAAAGCCTTTGACAAGGTCCCTCACCAAAGGCTCTTGTGTAAATTACATGGCCATGGGATAAGAGGGAAGGTCCTTTCTTGGATTGAGAACTGGTTAAAAGACAGGAAACAAAGGGTAGGAATAAATGGTAAATTTTCAGAATAGAGAGGGGTTGTCCCCCAAGGGTCAGTCCTGGGACCAATCCTTTTCAACTTATTCATAAATGATCTGGAGAAAGGGGTAAGCAGTGAGGTAGTAAAGTTTGCAGATGATACCAAACTGTTTAGGATAGTCAAGACAGAAGCAGACTGTGAGGGACTCCAAGAAGATCTCACCAAACTGAGTGATTGGGCAACAAAATGGCAAATGAAATTTAATGTGGATAAGTGTAAAGTAATGCACATCGGGAAAAATAACCCCAACTATACGTACAGTATGATGGGGGCTAATTTGGCTACGACAAATCAGGAAAGATCTTGGAGTTATCATAGACAGTTCTCTGAAAACTTCCACGCAGTGTGCAGTGGCGGTCATAAAGGCAAATAGGATGCTAGGAATTATTAAGAAAGGGATAGAAAATAAGACCCAGAATATCTTACTGCCCCTGTATAAAACTATGGTACGCCCACATCTTGAATACTGTGTACAGATGTGGTCTCCTCACCTCAAAAAAGATATTTTGGCCTTGTAAAGGGTTCAGAAAAGGGCAACTAAAATGATTAAGGGTTTGGAACGGGTCCCATATGAGGAGAGGTTAAAGCGAAACCTTTTCAGTTTAGAAAAGAGGAGATTGAGGGGGGATATGATAGAGGTATATAAAATCATGAGTGGTGTAGAGAGGGCAGATAAAGAAAAGTTATTTATTAGTTCCCTAAATAGAAGAACTAGAGGACACCAAATGAAATTATTGGGGAGCAGGTTTAAAACTAATAAAAGAAAGTTCTTCTTCACACAGCGTGTAGTCAACCTGTGGAACTCCTTGCCAGAGGAGGCTGTGAAGGCTAGGACTATAATAGAGTTTAAAGAGAAGCTAGATAATTTCATGGAGGTTAGGTCCATAAAAGGCTATTAGCCAGGGGATAAAATGGTGTCCTTGGCCTCTGTTTGTCAGAGGTTGGAGAGGGATGGCAGGAGACAAATCGCTTGATCATTGTCTTCGGCCCACCCTCTCTGGGGCACCTGGTGCTGGCCACTGTCGGTAGACAGGATACTGGGCTAGATGGACCTTTGGTCTGACCCAGTACGGCCGTTCTTATGAGAGCATGGACTCAAAAGACAGACTGAGAGACAAGATTAATAATACTGGGGTTCAAGTCCTTTTTCCACCAGAGACTTTCTGTATGACCATGGGAAAGGTACTTAGCCTCTCACATCTCTATCTGTAAAATGGGGATAATAGTACTTTACCTCAGAGGGGTATTGTGAGGATAAAGATATGCAAGATTATGAGCCACTCACTTACTGTGGCAATAGGGGTCATATAAGTAATCAAGATATACAGATCTACTTTTTCTCCCTCACTGGGAGGAAATGCCTAGAGAGATGAGGGAGAAGAGCATCCTGTGTGGAGAGCATGAGTGAGTAATACCAGCAGAATCCTGGCTGTGGTGATAATGCCACCCATCAGGTCAGCAACTAAACTAACCATGTCCATCACTACTGCACTCCTTAGAGATACTATTGTGAATGGGATAAGAGTCTCCTGGAGCCATAGTCCCATCTGGGAACAAAGCAGGGAAAAGGCACTCTAGACTTCCTCTGGAACAAGTGAAGTTAATTTACATTTCCTACCACACAACCAAAAAATCCTGAAATTTGTTTTGCAAAAGGAGTTAACAATAGACTATTTATGCTTCACATTCAGTGTTAGGGCACCTAGTGGGGAGGACCATTAAAACCCAATGGGGTTCCCCAACTAAATATGGATAACTTAATTTGGTTTTATGTGTTACATGAACATTTAGTAAAATAAATCAAAAACTAATTAAAAGCTAACTTTGTTAAAGAACTTACAAACAACATTTTATTAAAATTATATGAAGTTAAAAGGGCGAAAATCTGCAGTTGAATTTCCTGTAATAGCCTTATTATTTCCTCCTTACCTATTCTTTTCCTGTTTCATGGATGAATTAGAATACTAATTCTACTGTAGAATGTGATAACCCATACCTGACTTGCTTTCCTCTATCAGTCACAGAAAAATCTCACAAGTATCTTGGAGGTAGCATGGCCCAGTGGACTAGGACTCAGGACACCTGGGTTCTATTCTTGGCTCTACCAAAGGGCCTGTTGAGTGACCTCCAGAAAGTCACTTTGTCTCTCCATATCTCAGTTTAACATGGAATAATGATACTTACACCTCCTTTGTAAAGTGCTTTTGAGATCACAGATGAAAAGTGCTATAAAAGAGCTACAGGGTATATGAGTTATCAGTATTTTCTATTGCCAAAGTTGTTTTTCTGACTGCATCTAAAGTACGGCGTTTTTTAGTGATTTTTAATTTTGTTTAAAGTGTCTATTGTTTGATGAAAGTAGGCACTTCTTGCCTTTTCAAGTCACAGATTCTTATTTGTGAACCCAAATGTGGCACCTATATCCCTCCCATAGCCACATAATAATGGTTAGAGAGATGATTCTACTATATCAATGTTTCTCAAAGTGGGCCTGCTTTGGGAAAGCCACTAGCAGGATCATGCCACTTTGTTCTCCTGCAGAATCTGTAGCCACGGTGCCTCATGACTCCCATTGGTTCCAGTTTGCTGTTTTCAGCCAACAGGAGCCGTGGGAAACAGTGTACCAGAGCCAATGGGAGTAGCACGGCTCTGTGGCTACATACATTTGGGTAAACAAAGAGGACTCATCTTGAGAAAGACTGTGTTAGATCCCTGGGAATAAGGAGACAAGACAGATGAGGTGAGTGTGGGCAGTTGGCTCCTACAGTCACTGATTATTAGTAATGGATTCACTCCTGTGATGTAAAGCAGCCTTAAAGCACACATAACTCTCAAGGGATAGATGCATGGCCTCTCTGTGATAATGTCATAGCCATTGCTTTATCACAGAGCAGGGGCCCTGAACTTCCCCAGACCACTTGCTAAGTGACCCTGCTCAGTTCAGTCTCGAAGAGGAGAGAGATGTGATGAAATAAGGGATTGTATTTGCTTTGTTATGTTGCATGTGATTTCTACTATCTTGTAGTAATCCTGTGTGTGGGCCTCAGTTTCCATGGGCACTGAACCAAAAGTGAGATGGTGGTGGGAATTTCAGTGTGACAGCCTCCTGCACATATACAATGGCTGATGCTTTCTGTAACCTGAGCCTGGGAGTTGTCAGTGGTGGCTCCTAAATCATTCTTATCCCATCTCCTCTAACCTCTTTCTTCTCCTTCCCAAAAGTCAAAAGTTGGAAGAGATCAATTTATGGAATGGAACCTTATTTCATGGAATCCCTACGGTATCTCCATAATACATGTGAACTGCACAGCTGAATTTGAAAAGCTTCTAGTTAGGTAGAAACCTGTTTTATCTGTCTTATTTGTGAACATATACTCTTCAGGAAAGGGACATATTTTGGAGGCTATAGGGGTTTAACAGATATATGTATAATCAAGGCTAACAATATATAATACAAGCTGACCTTTATAGTACTTATGGAAATTGAGAAGTTTTATTTCACATTTAGTTTTATATCAAGCAATATTACTCACCTTCTGTAGCAAACTGCTCTAAATGTTTTAAAGTAATTTCCTTGTATTTTGAACTCTCTGCCAGACGGTCATAAATTACTGTATCCTACAATGCAAACAGAATGAAGGTACAATAAAACAAAGCAAGTAGGTTTCACTGATGTGGCAACAATAATAAAAATTCTGGAAAATAGGCAGAAAAATATGTAACACTACATCAAAGTACTTCAGGACCAAGCAACACAAATAGAAGTATATTTCTGTTCTGAAGAGGAGAAAAGAAGAGGACTTTCTGAGCTCTGCAGGGCTGTAG